GGCATTAAAATCTCCACAAATGATTGTGTTTGTTGTTGTCGCGTGTCCAAATAACACAGAGAGATCCATTTCGGCTTGTGGAGACCTGTACACATTGAACACTTCAAGTTTGTCGTGTCTTAGCTCAATGGTGACTCCCATTACCTCTGTCCCTGCTCCACAATTGGGTGGGCTGGTTATGGATTTGGAGATCAGGTCACATTTTACATAGATTGCACATCCCCTGGATTGCCCATTGATCCATGGAAGGAAGAAGCCTCGATAGCCTGAGATTTTAGGTTCTAATCCGGCTCGAAGCAAGCTCTCCTGTAGTATCAGGATGTCTATGCCTTTGGTTGCTGCTATGCATTGCAAGTGTTGCAATTTAGTGCGCAGTCCTTGCGCATTCCATTGCAGGATCTTTAGAATTCTAGGTTCTTGGAATGTGCTGATAATTCCGTGGTATCCATGGAGTCTGATGAACACGCCATGGAAGTTGCAATTGGGGTATAGGTTCTTAGTGGTCCTGAAATTGCCTCATCAATGTCGCTTTCCGACGAGCTGGACTCTATCTGCTTTTTATGGGGGTGCCTCTTGCCCTGCTGTCTTGACGGTGTGGATATTACATCTTCGAATTTTTTGAGCTTGTGCTCAATTGTCTTCCGAGTCTCTGTGGTTTGCTTGATTCCATGTGAAGACAGCAGACTTTCGATTAACTCAGTGACCAAAGTTTTGAGCATTGGCCAGAAAGCGTTCAGTTCAGTGGGAGCACTATTTAATGTTGTGCAGGTTGAGGGCCTAGTGGCTTTTAGACCCTTCTCGGTGGTAACTTTGGCACTGGGATTGCTACTCCTATTGGCCCCAGTGTGCTTGCTGGATGAAATGGGAGGCCGACTGCTTTGAACATGAGTCTTGTGTCCTCCATCTTTCTTTTTGTCCTGTACTGTCTTCTCACCCTTCACCATGGCCGATGGTGAAGGGCCGTGTGCCCCCTCTTCCTGAATGGGTAGACCCCACGCGGTTTTAGTGGGCATGGGAGCTGGTATTCGTTTTGGTGGGGGTTTCGGCTCCGCTGTTGGCGTGGTGGGGTTCGTTTGAAGCCTTTTGAGCCTTTCAGGGCATTTCAAGTTCCAGGCATGATGTGCCTTGGAACAATTTGGGCATTTTGCCTTAACAGGGAGGTTTGCCTTGAATTTATCAATACATGTTTTTGTATCATGGGGCTGGCTGCAGACTCCGCACCTCACTGGGCGTTGGCAGCCATCTTTGTGATGCCCAAATCTCTGACATCTAAAGCATCTTAGGGGTTCTGGGGTGTAAGGCCTGTGTTGGAACACGCCCCAGATTCCAAGGTCAAGTTTTTCCGGGATCCGTCCTCTTACTGTGAGAAGGACTTGTCGAGTTTCTTGTTTTGTTCGTACTTGGCATCTCTCTGCTGACACCACATAGTTCAGCTTTTCGAGATGGCCAAGGGCCATATGCAAGGGATAGTGGAGGACAATGACTTTACTTATTTTATCCTCTGGTTTCAGTTCCTCACATTTTGCGTAATTTTTTAGAATCGTAGCGGCCGACTCGTCTTTAGGCCTCAGAATGTATTCTCCTTTGAGATTAGGTTTTGCCCTGACCTGGAGCTGGGGGTACTCTTTTTCCAGGTCCACTACAGTAGCGTAGGAAGACTTACCTTCGGTGTGCTGCACTTTGAAGACCGGAAACGTAGATCTAGTCTGAGGCGCTGGGAGAGCTGGAGAAGCTGGAGAGATTAATGGGCGATGGGTCGTCATGGAGTGGCTTGTCCTGTTAGCCTTATTCACGTGATGCCACTCGCCGTCACTTTCGGAACTGGTATCCATTATCGATGGTCTTTTCCTACTCTGAGCAGCATTGCTGGATCGATTATAAGTCAATTAGAATTCCATGTTGAAATTTCAAATGATCACTTGTGGAGTGGTCTGGTGAGTGAAGGACGTGACGTCTGGTGTTTTTTTCGGTGATGAGGAAGTAGAGACAGGCAATCATCAAATATCTTCCACCGACTGCACATAGTACTCTTCTAAACTATTACAACCTATGCTGGACTCACGGAAATATTCCCTCACAATGGCAGACCAGTATTATTCTTCCGTTCCTTAAACCAGGGAAAGACCCATCCCAACCTGCGTCATACAGGACTATTATGTTATGAGGAAAGAGAGAGAAGGAAGAGGTGGTGGTGGTGTAGCTCTGCTGGTAAGAAAAGGCTGGGATTTTGAGGAGTTGGTTGTTCAGGGATGTGAAGGTTTCAGTGACTACATAATAGGAACAATAACAACTGGAGGGCAAAAAATTATAGTCGTAGTCATATATAATCCACCACCAAATGACAGAAGACCCAGACAGGAATATGATAGAAACAATATGGCCACCATTAACATAATAGAGAGAGCAGCTTCTGTTGCTAGCAGGAATGGATCTGGACTACTAATCATGGAAGACTTCAACCATGGGAAGATAGATTGGGAGAACAGAGACCCGCATGGAGGACCAGAAACATGGAGAGCTAAGCTGCTGGACGTGGCAACAAGAAACTTTCTAAGCCAGCACATCAGGGATCCAACAAGAATGAGAGGAGAGGATGAACCAGCAATGCTTGACCTGATATTTACCCTAAGTGAGTGGGATATAAGGGAAGTCAAGATGGAAGCACCATTGGGAATGAATGATCACAGTGTATTGAACTTTGAGTACCTGGTAGAGCTAGGAATTATCCCCCCCGAAAAAGAACTAGGAAACAAAAGGCTGGCATACCGAAAGGGAAATTATGAGGAGATGAGAAGCTTCCTAAGGGAAATACCTTGGGACACAGTCCTCAGAGCTAAGTCTGTACAAAATATGATGGACTATGTCACCCAAAAGTGTCAGGAGGCAGTAAGCAGATACATCCCGGCCCAAAAGGAAAAATCCGAGAAGCAACAGAAGAATCCATGGTATAATAGGGCATGTATGGAAGCAAAGAAACTGAACAAAAGGGCGTGGAGGAACTTCCGGAATAACTGAACACCAGAAAGCAGAGAGAGATACCAGAGAACCAGGAATGAGTATGTCAGTGTGAGAAGAGAAGCAGAGAAAAGTTTTGAAAAAGATATAGCAAACAAAGCCAAGACCGAACCAAAGCTACTCCAAAGTCACATTAGAAGGAAAACAACAGTGAAAGAACAGGTATTGAAACTTCGAACAGGCGTGGACAGGTATACAGAGAATGACAGAGGTGTGTGAAGAACTCAACAAGAGGTTCCAGGAGGTCTTCACAATAGAACAAGGCGAGGTCACTGTGCTAGGAGAAAGGGAGGTAAACCAGGCGGCCTTGGAAGAGTTCGAAATTACGAGAGAGGAGGTCAAGAGACACCTGCTGGATCTGGATATTAGAAAGGCTGTTGGTCCAGACGGGATCTCGCCATGGGTGCTGAAAGAGTGTGCAGAGGCACTTTGCTTGCCACTCTCCATAGTGTATAGTAGGTCACTGGAGACTGGAGACCTACCAGAAATATGGAAGACGGCGAATGTGGTCCCAATATACAAAAAGGGCGACAGGCAAGAGGCACTGAACTACAGGCCAGTATCCTTGACTTGTATACCATGCAAGGTGATGGAGAAGATCGTGAGAAAAAACCTGGTAGCACATCTGGAGAGAAGGGACTTCGTGACAAATCGACAACATGGGTTCAGGGAGGGTAAATCTTGCCTGACTTGCTTAATAGAATTCTATGACCAGGTGACACAGATTAAGCAAGAAAGAGAGGGCTGGGCGGACTGCATTTTCTTGGATTGTCGGAAAGCCTTTGACACAGTACCGCATAAGAGGCTGATACATAAGCTGGAGAGACAGGCAGGTGTAGCTGGTAAGGTGCTCCAGTGGATAAGGGAGTACCTAAGCAATAGGAAGCAGAGAGTTACGGTGAGGGGTGAGACCTCCGATTGACGTGAAGTCACCAGTGGAGTCCCACACGGCTCTGTACTCGGTACTATATTGTTTCTGATATATGTAAATGATCTCTCGGAGGGTATCGATTCATTTCTCTCAATGTTTGCGGACGATGCTAAAATTATGAGAAGGATTAAAACAGAAGAGGACTGTTTGAGGCTTCAAGAAGACCTAGACAAGCTGAAGGAATGGTCGAACAAATGGTTGTTAGAGTTTAACCCAACCAAATGTAATGTAATGAAGATAGGTGTAGGGAGCAGGAGGGCAGATACCAGGGATCATCTGGGAGAGTAAATTCTTCAGGAGTCAGAGAAGGAAAAAGACTTGGGGGTTGATATCACGCCAGACCTGTCTCCTGCAGCACATATCAAGCAGATAACATCAGTGGCATATGCCAGGCTGGCCAACATACGAACGGCATTCAGAAGTTTGTGTAAAGAATCATTCAGAACTTTGTGTACCACATATGTTAGGCCAATTCTGGAGTATGCAGCCCCAGCATGGAGTCCATATCTAGTCAAGAATAAGACTAAACTCGAAAAGGTTCAAGGTTTGCCACCAGACTAGTACCCGAGCTGAGAGGTATGAGCTACGAGGAGAGACTACGGGAATTAAACCTCACTTCGCTGGAAGACAGAAGGGTTAGCGGGGACATGATCACCACATTCAAGATTCTGAAGGAAATTGATAGGGTAAATAAAGACAGGCTATTTAACACAAGGGGACACAGGTGGAAACTGAGTGCCCAAATGAGCCACAGAGATATTAGAAAGAACTTTTTTAGTGTCAGAGTGGTTGACAAATGGAATGCATTAGGAAGTGATGTGGTGGAGGCTGACTCCATACACAGTTTCAAGTGTAGATATGATAGAGCCCAATAGGCTCAGGAATCTGTACACCTGTTGATTGACGATTGAGAGGCGGGACCAAAGAGCCAGAGCTCAACCCCTGCAAACACAACTAGGTGAGTACAACTAGGTGAGTACAAACACACACACACACACACATACACTTAGGGGGCATATTACGGGTTTCTTAAAAGTTGTTCAATTTGTTTATAAATTTAATCATGGAATGGTTATAGAAAGCGCTGCAACTGGTCCAAGTTTTAGCATCACAACCTAAATAGAAAGGGAGAAAAAAATACACAACGAATTATGCAACGAATTTTCAACATTTTCGAAAAATTTCTGAAAACACATGTGTCAACTAAAATCATTTCTATAACACTCAGATATCTCATTAGCATATAATAAAGGATTATACACAGCAGTTTTATCCAAAAAGTTTTTAGTGCTGTAATACAAATATTCAAAGTTCCCCTTCCAAAATTATGCAATATATGATGTTTATAAATATTTATAAAATCAATAAATGGACTTTGGACTAAAGTGTTCTGTACAATTGTAGAAAGAAACTCTACATATAAGGTGTAATTTGCATGTAAATTGAATAAAAAATGAAAGCTGTGAAACACCATAAAGTTGAAAATTTCTTACTTGAGTAAAATAAGATCAAAGTTATGGCCCACCTGTAGCCGAGCTTGACGTCGACCAATTTCCTTCATAATTAGCACCCTTGCAGATAGGCATCCGTTCAGCAAGGTGTGTAAGTTCCATGCAAATCCCCTGATAACAAACAGAAAAAAAATATGCATATAAATAAATAAATAAATAAATAAATAAATAAATAAATAAATAAATATATATATATATATATATATATATATATATATATATATATATATATATATATATATATATATATATATATATATATGTCGTACCTAATAGCCAGAACGCACTTCTCAGCCTACTATTCAAGGCCCGATTTGCCTAATAAGCCAAGTTTTCATGAATTAATGTTTTTTCGTCTACCTAACCTACCTAACCTAACCTAACCTAGCTTTTTTTGGCTACCTAACCTAACCTTACCTATAAATATAGGTTAGGTTAGGTTAGGTAGGGTTGATAAGGTTCGGTCATATATCTACGTTAATTTTAACTCCAATAAAAAAAAATTGACCTCATACATAGAGAAAAGGGTTGCTTTATCATTTCATAAGAAAAAAATTATAGTAAATATATTAATTCAGGAAAACTTGGCTTATTAGGCAAATCGGGCCTTGAATAGTAGGCTGAGAAGTGAGTTCTGGCTACTAGGTGCGACATATATATATATGTATGCCTGCACATATATATTACAATTATTTATTTTAAAATATCCAATTATAACACTAAAACATACTAACCCATTGTAATTGGTCCGAATTGTGGGTCCTCAAGGTGGCACTGCAATGGGCACTAATAGGCACTTGCATGATTGCTGGATCACCTTCCTCAGGAGCCTGTCTCGGCTTGTTGGAGGGAGGGAGGTCTAGGAAGGTGTGAGGAGGGTCTAGGAGGGTTGAGGAAGGTTGAGGAGGTGTCGTGTCACCCTCACAGCTGATGCAGGGAGGCCACCACCATCTCTCACTGAATATTACTCTTCTTCGCGCTAAAGCGGCTTTCTTTTACTGATAAAGACGGCGACCGAGTGCCAGGTTTGCTGCTCTTATCTTCTGATACTTCGTTTTTATAAATATTTGTGCAGTAGACGCGACAATGCGCTATTCCAGGAGCGAGAATGGAGAGTGCGTCGACAAAGCATCCACACTCAATAGAACACAGGAGGTGACTGAGGGCTGGTACCTCGCTCATCCCCCACTAGGGATGAGAAGGTTGCCAATGAGTGTATATTTACTCTTTATAAATACAGAGTTATTTACGACGTTATTATGAAAAAATTGACGTTTAGATCGTACGACGCAATACCTTTGGCGCGCCACAGCCGCGGGGCACCGGATTCTGCACAATTACGCATGGAAATGTGCCATAAATACGTCAATTTATATCTTAAAATAATTCTGATTGCACCAGAGTGTTGCCAGAACTACGTAGTATTTTATAAATATTACACAATATTACGATTTTTCCCGAATTTTTTCGTCTAATATTCCAAGGAAACTTTGGTACCATTTCACATAGCACTTAAATCTCTATAGTTATTCGGTTTAATAATATTCTTCAAATAGTGAGACTACCCAACCTCATCAAGGGGTTTTAGAATATGCATTTTAATTTTTTTTATATTATTAGTTTACATTCTAGTTTTTAGCAAAAATACAACTATGGGAGTATAATAATTATAAGGATATCTCAGTAATGGCAAGGTGATCTATGTAGGAAGATTACACATAGAGCAGTTCCTAATCCATTTTGAATGTAGTTAATTCCTACACAGCGACAGCAATTATGCAACACTGTAGGTAGATAGTGGACTATATTCCATAGGTAGTAATTGTACATCTGACAACTCGGCGAGATTGGTCTATGAACAGAGATAATCTCATTCTCAAACCTCAAAAATTACTCCTACAACTGTCTGCACATCATTAATTATGCAGTACTAAGATCAACAAAAATAGCCACCCAAATGTCGTACTGCAATTCCTACATCTGACAACTCAACTGGGGACTAGTCACTTTATTCATTGGGTAAACATTCCTGGACCTCGAAAGTACACAAAATCCTAATATTCTCCACAAATTACCTAACCTGTTTCCAAACCAACAGTTGCATACACATATGTACATTCATACATTCACAGGGGCCTCGTAGCCTGGTGGATAGCGCGCAGGATTCGTAATTCTGTGGCACGGGTTCGATTCCCGCACGAGGCAGAAACAAATGGGCAAAGTTTCTTTCACCCTGAATGCCCCTGTTACCTAGCAGTAAATAGGTACCTGGGAGTTAGTCAGCTGTCACGGGCTGCTTCCTGGGGTGTGTGTGTGTGTATAGTGTGGAAAAAAAAAAAGTAGTTAGTAAACAGTTGATTGACAGTTGAGAGGCGGGCCGAAAGAGCAAAGCTCAACCCCCGTAAAAACACAACTAGTAAACACATACATACATACATACTTATATATGCATATACATGTATACATGCATGACAATCGACAACGTAACCATAATATTTAAGCAATCCCAAAAATACTGTTAAATACCCTTATATATTCAAACACAACAAATATCGTAATTACATAATTAAATATCAACCTACATACTGTTCATATGGTTAAACCAGGGTGTTTATGTTGCGTTATGATGGGATCATGATTCAGGACATGTATCATATAATGGACCACGTGTCAGGACATGTATCATATAATGGACCACGTGTCAGGACATGTGTCATATAATGGACTACGTGTCAGGACATGTATCATATAATGGACCATGTGTCAGGACATGTATCATATAATGGACTACGTGTCAGGACATGTATCATATAATGGACCATGTGTCAGGACATGTATCATATAATGGACCACGTGTCAGGACATGTATCATATAATGGACCACGTGTCAGGACATGTGTCATATAATGGACTACGTGTCAGGACATGTATCATATAATGGACCATGTGTCAGGACATGTATCATATAATGGACCACGTGTCAGGACATGTATCATATAATGGACCACGTGTCAGGACATGTGTATCATATAATGGACCACGTGTCAGGACATGTCTCATATAATGGACCACGTGTCAGGACATGTATCATATAATGGACCACGTGTCAGGACATGTGTCATATAATGGACCACGTGTCAGGACATGTATCATATAATGGACCATGTGTCAGGACATGTATCATATAATGGACCATGTGTCAGGACATGTATCATATAATGGACCACGTGTCAGGACATGCATCATATAATGGACCACATGTATCATATAATGGACCATGTGTCAGGACATGTATCATATAATGGACCACGTGTCAGGACATGTATCATATAATGGACCACGTGTCAGGACCACGTGTCAGGACATGTATCATATAATGGACCACGTGTCAGGACATGTATCATATAATGGACCATGTGTCAGGACATGTGTATCATATAATGGACCACGTGTCAGGACATGTATCATATAATGGACCACGTGTCAGGACATGTATCATATAATGGACCACGTGTCAGGACATGTATCATATAATGGACCACGTGCCAGGACATGTGTATCATATAATGGACCATGTGTCAGGACATGTATCATATAATGGACCATGTATCATATAATGGACCATGTATCATATAATGGACCATGTGTCATATAATGGACCATGTATCATATAATGGACCACGTGTCAGGACATGTGTATCATATAATGGACCACGTGTCAGGACATGTATCATATAATGGACCACGTGTCAGGACATGTATCATATAATGGACCACGTGTCAGGACATGTATCATATAATGGACCACGTGTCAGGACATGTATCATATAATGGACCACGTGCCAGGACATGTATCATATAATGGACCATGTGTCAGGACATGTATCATATAATGGACCACGTGTCAGGACATGTATCATATAATGGACCACGTGTCAGGACATGTATCATATAATGGACCACGTGCCAGGACATGTGTATCATATAATGGACCACGTGTCAGGACATGTATCATATAATGGACCACGTGTCAGGACATGTATCATATAATGGACCACGTGCCAGGACATGTGTATCATATAATGGACCTCGTGCCAGGACATGTGTATCATATAATGGACCACGTGTCAGGACATGTGTATCATATAATGGACCACGTGTCAGGACATGTAAGTTTGGTCAACATCTGCAAGGCTGATGCTGTACGAAATACTAACAAACGCTTTATTTTAATGATAAATTTTATGGTTATGGAAACAAACATGCATGTAAGAGCGAGTGATTGTTATTAACTATTGTTGTTGTTGCAGGTGATGTCAACGACCAAGAAGCAGATGACATCACTGTCATCTACCCTTCCACCTCTTCCTGTTGCTCAGATAATTCGTCCCATGTACCTGAACTGCACCACTTCATGGCTGTTGGTCTTGAGGAAGGAAATGGTTGGCAGCGTAAGTTAGTTATGCACGGTGACCTCTTATATTGCTGTTGAACCTTGTACAAAATCTTTCATATAACTTTTTAATGTTTGCACCCATATACCTACCACAAGCACAGTATTGTCATTCTGGTAGGCATATGGGTGCACTTATCTAAAAATATGGAGCATATGAGTACTATGGATATAAATTACAATATCTGTTATATTCAAAAAGCACAGTTTTGTACTTTTCGAATACAAAAAAAAATGTGGAACAGAGTATCTATAAGCCTAGTGTTACCTGTCTTAGACCTGCTTAAGTATTCTTAGGCAACCATATAATTTAGGCCTTATTTTGTAATTATATGTATTGAACAAGACGCTGAAAAAGTTAGCTTTATAGGATGTCTTCGTTATTGGGTCCTCTACAAAACTATTATTACAAAAAAGTGGATTTTTTTTTTGAGGGTGCAACAGTCCATGTTTTGTGCATGTATCCGTAGTGACTATAGTTATAAAACTATAATTTCTGGATGATTGGCTTGTTTATCGATGAGTCTGTCTTGTATCCTCTGACCTTCAGTAAGTCCTTCTTAAAATACAGATCATAAAGTTATGAAGCGTTTATAAATACTTACTTCTGTTAGTCCTAATGTTGACATAAATTGTCCGCATTAATGAAATTTATTCCATAAAGCTTTGTGAAATCTTGAGAAAAAACCTACTCCAGTGACTAACATCTGATTACTCTGTCAGCTTATCCCGGTAGTATGTCCTCATTTATCTGCAATCCCTTTAAGAAGTTGTAACCAGAATATGCATCGGGTAGTGTAATTAACTCTATTGGGTAAGCAGTCACTTTAGCTCTGAAACACGCAGTATCAACAAAATGTATTCCCAAGAAAATTACAAACTGGTTCGTAATTCATGACATGAAATCGTTTGTTAAATGCGGGACACTATTGGCCGGAAAGCAAGCATTGGAGACGACAGGAGAAGAATCGAAATGCTCTCCAGTTGATGTGTGTAGTTCCAACGTTTTTCACACCGTGTTTGCGTTTTATCTTGTCAGGGGCCTGGATCACCAAATAATAATTAGCGTCAGGCTGTGGCAAAAGTAATTAGCTTTATAGAGATATTCGGACTATTTGATCCTCACACTTCGACTACGATTCATATAAAGGTCGAATCAAATTTTTAAGTACCTTAATGCCATTTGCTTTTGTTATGACAATGTTATGCTGATTTTACTTACAATAAAGTACATTATTCTTAAGTCTAATAAAATGGCATATTCATCCAAACTAAAAACTGTCCTTTTATATCACATGCCTATTTAGACCAATGACAACAAAGATTACGAGTGATTCTCGGTCATTGGTCGCTATCTTAGAATTAATATAGGCATGCTCCTAATTAGGTATTGTTGCAAGCGAGCTCTGAGTGCCAGGCAGCTGCAAGCAAATAGTGTCCAATATTCTTTTTATTCTCGACCATCTGTGTGTGCAATATATTTCCAATTTGCCTTTCCATCCGATGTGTAATCCTCGTCTACACTATGATAAATGGATCAAATGGTTATGTAGAGAATAAATAAAAATTGTCAAAGCAATGGTGCAATTACCAGATAGCAGCAGTAATACCAGTGGTTGATCGAACACGAAGAGAGATGAAATAAGCTTTAAGTAAGGTGTAATGGAATCGTGCCACTCAAAATCGACCTGGTAAATAGAATTTGGTAATGGCGTTCAATGTGTACACTAAACAAAATGTATTTAAATGGTTAGTAATGTATGGTTGATAGACTGAATTATTCAAGAGAAAGGTTTCATGAATAAATCGAGATATCGGTAATATATGTAACAATCCGGACCGTTGAATAGGAACGCCAAACGGCAATATCAAAACCACAAATCGCTAAACAGAGCGTGATCCCGAAGCCCCTTGGCGGAGCAGGTGTCCAGATGTCCGTTTGTCGTCAAGAAAGGAGCAAGAGCCAAGTCAGACCCACTCCCAGCCTGGTTTCTTATACAGAGAAGAGACGGAAGGCCTTCTTCGGTAATGTGCAATCGTTCTGGTACTGAGTCTTGGGGACCATGGTTTACCGACAGGATAAAGGAGCGCTTCAGAAGGGGCCAGACCCTTTCCCAGAGATCCAGGACTTGATCTCTACCAAAACTACGGTTGCACCAATAAACGTTATCGACGATGGAGGACCCCAACTGCTGTTCAGCAGTATCGCAGCCTAACAGGGTCTGTTCAACCCCACCACTCTCACTGCTCTTGAGGAGGCGCATCTGATCCTCACCCCACCTCTTCACTACCTTGCAGCCAGGACGGTGTTCGTCCACAGAGTGAGCTCCCTCATCTCTGAGAAAGCCGTCACCGACGTCTCCGCCAGCATCAACGACCAGAACTCTTCATTGACTGCTGTCATTCTCAAATTCATCACTGTAACTAACAGCCACCTCGTCACCATGAAGGTTACTTTTACATCGCCCGAGGAAGCTACCTTTGCAGCTGCCAACGGAATCCGGTGCTATGGTATAGCCAGCACACCTCACCAGATCACCAAGGATCACGACTTCCGACTTCGTCAATACTGCAAATGCTACAGCTACGATCACCTCACGAAGAAGTGCACTGCTCAGGACCAACGGTGCAGCAAGTGAGTCGGGAAAAACCACTTCAGAAACTGTGATGCTAGATACCTTCACATCATTCACTGCTCTGAAGAACGTACCGCTGTCTCTGCTGAGTGCCTTGAACGAATTAAAGAAGTCAATAAGATGTCCGACCCCAGGCAGGCCTCCACAACTAGCCGTACACCAACAACTTTCAATGCTCAAGCTGCCATGTTCCTGGAGCTTACGGGTGGAGGAGCAGCTAACGCACAGCCTTCAAGCCACTGGGGGCCTAGTTCCTAGTCCGCCGACCAATCATCGACTCAGCCGTCACCGCCATCCCCTCCATCTGGCCAATCATCAAGTCAGCCTTCACCACACGAGTTGCCGGCTCCCAACATCGCTAATAGTACTGTCTTCGCACTCACGCACCTGGCCGAGATGTTGGCAGGCACAAACTACAAGGAATTCGTATGAATTCTCAACAAACTCTATGCTGCAAATGGCCTCCCAACATTTACTGTTACCGAGGAACTCCTCTGGACTTCAGCTTCGGCTTCAGCTACTACGACTCCAGCTGCTGACATCACTATTTCTCTAGCCGACCTTGCAGTTCTCCTATCCACTGAAGACCACACTCAGCAACCTGCACCGGCTAAGCTACCTCCTGCGTCCACTGCATCTTCTGCTCCTCCACCTACACCTCTGTAGGCCGCCTCTACTGATCCGATACCTGCAGCTCCAGTTGCACCTGCACCTGCTACAGCTACCTCGTCATCGTCACCGGAATTCTATGCTGACCTTCAACTGTCTACTGATGATGACTCTACTGCCTCTGTGGACGTAGAAGATTACACGCCTCCCCTTACCAGGACGTCGATAAGCAACTCACCAGAGGTAAATGGCCTGTATCTGCAACATAACAACATTGCCTATGGATCTCTAGAATTTAGAAGAATTTCAAGTTGTATCTATAACAAGTGATATGTAGATCACTACCAAAAAAGACCCAGCAGACGCCAAAAATATTATTGTTACTGCACTTACCATCCTTGCTGAGTGCGATGAATCCACTCTTCTACCACCTTGAGGTTACCTTGAGGTGCTTCCGGGGCTTAGCGTCCCCGCGGCCCGGTCGTCGACCAGGCCTCCTGGTTGCCGGACTGATCAACCAGGCTGTTGGACGCGGCTGCTCGCAGCCTGACGTACGAGTCACAGCCTGGTTGATCAGGTATCCTTTGGAGGTGCTTATCCAGTTCTCTCTTGAACACTGTGAGGGGTTGGCCAGTTATGCCCCTTATGTGTAGTGGAAGCGTGTTGAACAGTCTCGGACCTCTGATGTTGATAGAGTTCTCTCTCAGAGTACCAGTTGCACCTCTGTTTTTCAACGGGGGTATTCTGCACATCCTGCCATGTCTTCTGGTCTCATGTGATGTTATTTCTGTGTGCAGGTTTGGGACCAGCCCCTCTAATATTTTCCACGTGTAAATTATTATGTACCTCTCCCGCCTGCGCTCAAGGGAGATTTTAGGCTCTTTAGTCGGTCCCAATAGTTTAGATGTTTTACTGAGTGGATTCTAGCAGTAAAGGATCTCTGCACGCTCTCCAGGTCAGTAATTTCTTCAGCTTTGAAAGGTGCTGTCATTGTGCAGCAGTACTCCACTCTAGAGAGCACAAGCGTTTTGAAAAGTATCATCATCGGTATAGCATCTCTAGTGGGAAAAGTTCTTGTTATCCAACCTGTCATTTTTCTTGCAGTTGTGACGGCTACTTTATTGTGTTCTTTAAAGGTAAGGTCTTCCGACATGAGTACACCCAGATCCTTTACATTGCCTTTTCGTTCTATGTTATGATTTGCCTGAGTTTTGTACATGGTTTCCGTTTTTATATTTTCATTTTTTCCATAGCGCATGAGCTGGAACTTATCTTCGTTAAACACCATATTATTTTCTGTAGCCCATAGAAAGACCTGATCTACATCTGACTGGAGGTTCGCCGTGTCCTCTATGTTGCCTACTCTCATGAAGATCCTAGTGTCATCTGCAAAGGATGATACAGTGCTATAGGTTGTGTTCTTGTCTATGTCCGAAATGAGGATGAGAAAAAGTACTGCAACTCATTCCTCCTGACTATGAGGAACTAAAGAATCTACAAAAACTACACGAAGGATATAAGATGATTACAAGATGAAAAAAGAAAGATGAAATAAGAATTAAGACACCACCAGTCGAAAGACTGCCAACACCTAGAATGAAGAAACACTGCCACTGGTGCCTTTTCCTGACCCGACTCAACGCCTAGCCAGTTGTGGGGTTTTCCAGCATCAAGTCCTGCCACGCAGCTGAGTTTTCCCCTGGCTCTTTCTCTACAACTCCAACGCTTGCTCTCACCGACCTCTCTTCAGCAATACCCACTTCAAAACTCGCCCAACGGGTATCTTTTTCTTAATCTTATTGCACTGTTATTGTATTCCGTGTTTCTAGCAAACCAGCCGGCCGCACTGATAGTCAGAGGGCATCTTACATCAACACGGCGCTCCCCGTGCGGGAAGTGTTAGCTGATTGCCCTGGTCGAGCTCTGATCTCTGACAAAGGGTCGAGCCCCTGATCTCTGACAAATCAGTCACCGACGTGATCGCCAGCATCAACGGCAAGAACTCTTCATTGACTTTTGTCATTGTTCAGTTCATGATTGTAAATGACACCCACCTCGCCACCATGAAGGTTACTCTTACCCCGCCTGAGAAAGCTACTTTTGCTGCTGCAACGGATTTCGATGCTTTGTCATCGATAACACACCTCATTAGATCACCAAGGAAAGCTACTACCGATTTCGTCAATGTCACAAGTGTTACAAGTACGATCACTTCACGGAGAAGTGCACTCTCCAGGACTCGAAGTGCAGCATATGCCCCCGACGACCACCACTTCAAGGACTGCATAAGCGACAGTGTTCGCTGTCTTCTCTGTGCTAGTAATCACATTGTCGTCTC